TAAGTTTCACGATGTGGACATGAATTCATGTTGTGCACATCTTAAAGAGTTCAATGGATGGTCTAACATGAATAACATGAAAATAATGCAAGTTTAAACTGTGACATATTTTAAACTTTGTAGCAGCAAAAGAGCCTGACCGATTTAGATATCCAGCACCATTGGAAGTGGTACTTTCTGGTCTTCCGCGACACTGAATTCATCTGCCTGCTGTGTTTCGCGAAAGAACTTTAGTGGCAAAAATCGCTGTCACTCTCCTTTAAAGTCAGAGGAACTCACCCTCGTGCCCAAGATATTAGGAGTCGCATCGATGTAAACGAAATTGGCTTTAGCAGTTCGACACAATGTATTTCCTAACTTCTTGCTGCAGTTCAGCTGCGGCAATAAGTCGACTCCGAACCGCGTTGCTAAATTTCGATGTCAATCATTAAAGTTGCCCATTTAAAAAAAATTAGGAGACTTTTGTTGGGTAATTATGGCAAAATATGTTATTTTTACCTCAATAATTACAAAAAATAAATTTACTATCTGCCTGATAAAAGCTGTACGTCTTTGTGACCCACGTTCATTGTTTTTCGATGCATAAATAATGATTTACACAACATAAAAATATCAATTGAGGCTGGCTTTGGTAGACAAAAACTTGTTTGATCAACTTTACAAGCAGCCAGTGACATAAATAATTCAAAAATCTACTCTATGAAGGGCGAAAGCTCCCATCACTAGGGTTAATTAGATTTGTAAAAGTTATTTGCTTGCGGCATTGGTAGATTCACGCCGTCTTACTTCTCAGTCTACCGCATTGAGAAAGGCCTTAGTAGCTACCGTTATCCACACCAAATGTCTCAACGTTAAATCTAATTGCTCAAGTTAAGTACAGTCCGTACAAAATGGATTGACTGATTGTGAAGACTTGCATACACTTTTCTTTACAAGATAAGTCCTACAAGCAGGCGTTGGACACATGTGATTCGCTTTGCCTGTGAGGAATGGCGCTGCCTACTGCTGACTCTCCTTATAATCCTCTGTCTCATTTCTCTCGTCTGGTGTTTTAATCTCTTACGATTGTCACCAAGAGATTTGTGCCAACCCGTCCACTACTCCCTTGCCGCAATGATGCTTATTTTGCTTTACCTCATCTACCTTTTTGAATGCCTCAACTGCCGCACACGATTGGAGCTCGCTAGGGCCACTAAAGTCACTCAAATCTCCGCTCGCATAGCTGTGGCAATGAAACATGACCCCAAATTATGGTGGCTTTGCTTTTCCTACCACTTTGTCCAACGTCGACGGCGAAGATGCCACTGCCGTCCAAGGTACACGGAAGAGGTCCGTTTCACTTCCGACTTGAAAAGCAGTAGGCATAGTGACGGGGCTGCGGTATTGGAAACTGAAGCGCATGACAGAGTTATTACTTCTGTTAAGCAGCATTTTATCAACGAATCAACTACTTTTAAATGCTTTTGGTGCGATAAGTCGCCGAGGATTAGATGGAAAGAATGCTGGGCCGCTGCAGTTCACCTGACGTTTGTGAAGGAATTGATTTTTGCTGATGAAGTCACCAGGAGGCAATATGAAGAACATAAAAGCAGATTCATGAAGTTACAACAGTCTAATGATGACTTTGTGGAGATAAAGGAAGGTTCGTTATCACAACCTCTTGTCAATGTCTTTGCATGTACATATGCTGCCTTTTTGTGGGCTCCTGTAAACTGCAAACAAGGTTTCGTGTAGTGTTGTAAATTTCATAGGTACCTTTTGCTGCACTTGTTCGAGAGAGGACCGAAGGAAATTTAACATTACCCATCTAATATGACGAAAGAAAATTATTTGTATGAGCGCACCAAAAAATAATTCCAAAACTGATCCTTATCACCTGATTTTACTAAAGTGGTAACGAAAATACCCCAACATCCATCCACTCAAAGTAGGGAAATATTTTTAGTAACTTTTCTAATAATATGTTTGCATTGTCGACAATTTGATGGGCTCCTTTTTTAAGTTAACTGGGGTAAACAAAAAAATACTTTTGAGGTTGGTCCATGGTCAGAAGGTTTTGAGTGAAAAGAGTTTGTGCGTTGAGAACTCGTAAAATCCCAGCTAACTTGATTTAAACATGTAGTGCAACTCAAAATTGATAGGATTTGCAGTTAGTCCCAACTTTCAGCTCACCTCACATCATGAGGCTATCTAAACTCTCACAATTAGGCATTGATAATGAAAACAAGCACAAAGGCAACACTTCAGCTCTCTTTAAGGGCGCTAAGCTGCAGAGCTCTAAGTAGCTAAAAACTTTGCAACTAAATAACTATTGGCACTGCAGACACATCAAACTGAGTCCATTGAGAGTTGTCAACTCGCATAGTTGATGGATAAGGAGCGGTCATGGTTTTCTTGTGAATACGAGCATGACCAAGCCCACCTACCTGACCAACGCATAATCGTCTGGGCTAAATCCAAATGGCATTGCAAATATCTTAGTTGGCTGCCTGCCTCATAAGAGGATTTTCAGTAAGTGATCGTGCTTCTAAGTGGTGCCCAAAACAACTGCTCCTCCTTTCATGTGACCCACTCAAAAGCATTTTCTTATTTTCATCGATTGCGATGAACTGTAAATGTAAAGCAGTATTACATCAGTCGGCGTTTGCACTAGTTATCCACTCATTGCCATACTTTAAACGAGGCTTTTACTTTGCTTTTGTTCAGGGGACAAACAGCAACTGAAGTCAGGGAAACAGGTTTGTTAACTATTAACACAAGCTGACAGTTAAGTATAATCTGCACGCTTTTACTTGATATGCAACTGATAAACTTGCTTCGAGACAGTTTTAAGCTTGATCACAACTAAAAGCCTGCCACACCTCTTGAAACATTCAAGAAAATAAACTCATTCTCTTTAAATGTTTTATAGTGCCATTTAAAGAAGATGGTATTTTACACAAAATTCCATCGATTCAAGTTTGGTTAGATGATAGTAGTTTGGTGGTAGTCAATACCCTATTGCTAAGCCGCTACTATCCACATTCCACAAGTAATTTGTTATTAGTGGCAGCGAAAAGTCCGTCTGGTTGTTCACTTTGGATGAGGGGGTGGTAAATGATAATTTGGTTGTCATCGACACACACGGTACTCGCCATCGATTCCATAAAGTTGGTGGTTTAGTAAATGCAACCTCGTAACTGCGTTATTTCTTTCAACCCTATGACAGCCAACTGCGTTTTTACGTGCTCCAAAGTTTTCTTTCATCTGCAACTACCAACGATCACATTATCTAAGTAGGTTAGCCAACAATTTTGGTTGGGAGTCGATAAACGTGCTTGGAGTTATGCATTTATGTTTCCAGTCTTAAATGCTTAATCAAGTAGCCCCTCTCTCAGTAATAAATATAACACTTTATAGAAGAGAAACACATCTCTAACCATGGTTTTTCGCACGTGTAGAAACATCAGTAGCTTATAGGTTGGCTTTGTATAACAGCCCTTAATGCAATTTAGTGCTCTAGTGATGTTACTTCGAGACCTACAACAAATAGAGGTTTGTATGCTTTAGACAAAGGGTGAAGGATAAGAAGTCACGCCCAGCATGTGGATGCAAATGACCCTTAATGCGTGTGTGTACCTGAAGAAGGACACGGGAGCATATGGTTCTTACAACCATATGGCACTGATAACCAAACGCTCTCGAGGTAGCGCTTTGGTCAAGGAATAGTGTAGTTAGGCTGGGACACCAGCAGTTGTGGTAACTATGAGCTGCGCTATGTAAACAAAAATAAAGATCCGAGGCCTCAGCTTACTGATTTACTTGTGGTGCTGCAAGGTTTGAACCCTTAATAATTGCGCTTCCAGTAAAAGGAGTTAAACAAGTAGTTTAAAATTTTGCGAGTCACAACCATTTGCCGTGGGAAAAAAGATGTAACTGATCGACCATTTAAAATTTAGGCAACTGGTATGATTAGTCCCTAAAGAGGCCGCACAAAGAATCGCCTCTATACGACATCTAGCCATTATATAAAAATAATCGTACGCTTAATGAGTGCGGATCCTGCTTAATGTGACCTGTGGCGCCGCTAGGGCAGGGATACTTTTATCCCTCTTCTCATCGGTGACACTGAGTTACGTGTTGCATCTTGTATCAGCCCAAACCTTGCTCGTAACCAGATCAAACGGTTATATTAGTGGGATCATTCAAATGACGTGAGTTTTTCAATAGCATCTAAGTCATAATAAAAAGATTATAATGTCCTGACAGTCATTTGCTTTAATATAATTCCACGTACGCCATTATGGCTCACAATTTATTAGAAATGTTTGCTAACTATTTAATTTATTAACTTTTCAGTTTTATTAGTTTGATTTTCTACTTTGATAGGTTTTCAATTATATAACGAGGCTGAAATTCAACCTTCAGTTTTGGTGGTGAAACACAAGTCTGCCCTATTTTGCCAAAGGACTTTCCTTTTAGCCACAATATTTCTCCTCTCCTGGCCTTATCGAATCCTGATCTATGCAAGGACCTCAGAATTGGACTTTCCTTTTCGAAAGGTACTAAGGATTCCACCCTCAAATTTCCATCGATGTGGATACAACTGCTTCCCAAGATCCAGCAGTTATGGTGAATGGCGTAACAACAATGCGTTTATCATCGAAAATCCCCTCGTTGGTCAGAAGTCCTCCCAACACTCCAGCAACAGTGATGATGAACTTTTATCCATCGACATCAGATATACTAGTTCAGATTGAGGCTTACCAATTATTCTAGTCGTTTTTTTACGATGGTGTTTTATCATCACTATTAATGATGTAATGGATATAAGTGTGATACTCGAAGAATACCGTAAAACAGTGATGCCTATAATTTACAAATTTAGTAGTGGAGAAAGCGTTTTAATACGAGAAATTTTGCATTACGTTTCTGATTTATCGAAAATTCACTCCTCTGCCTCAAAACATAATGTTAAAGACGTTTACCATACTAGAAAAACGTTGCCTAATTACTGAATGCAAGGATTGGCAAACATAATGAGCATGCTGGAAGGCATGGTTATGAGATGGAACATGTATAATTGACATGACTCAGAGTTTAGCCTCACTATCATTTGGCCTCCTTCATTGCATCGAAAATTAAGCAGTCACTGCAATTTTTTCCTCATCGTCCTTCTTAACGAAATTCCTCTCCATCAGTCTAAATGCGAATGGGGAAAATCTATGACTCTACCGCAATAGTCATCAAATTGCCCTCCACGTGAGAAGGCGATTGAATGTAACGTCACAGATTCCCCTAGGCAAATGTTCTTTAACTAGAGCTTGCTTCTGATTGGGAAGTATGTTAAGGGAAGAAAAAATGTGCTGGATTTCGTGTATTCCCATAGCTACTTGTAGGGGGCACTAGCCGCTAATGCAGCACCTCTTTGCTCGTCTGGAATTAACAAAGGAATATGACATAACAATGTTTTGTCGACGTAACACAAGACCGAACCATTTGGAGCAAGTAAAACGGTGAAAAATCTAAGAGTCTCTCTGGTTGAAAGTTATGAAATTAACTAATGTGCTGCAGTAGAGCTGTTCCTTCAACTTCAGGATGTGGAGTTTGAACTTTAATCGGAATCTAATTCAACTTTATGAAACAAAGTTAATGTCAAGTTTTCTCGTGGTTTTGGATCGTATCAAAATGAACTATTGGAAGTAGGAGGCACCAATGTTTAAGACTGTGACTTACGATTATGATACCGACCTCCAAGAATCCAAGTCATTCCAACTTAATGCGGTTATTCCCTTCAAGAGCTTTAAATGAAACAATGTGGTCCTGACATTAGTGATGCTCCGTTAATTTGTAGATTTTTAAGCCTCCACTACATTGCTTAAATTCGTAAAAGTCGTCAATGCACTGCCTATAGAGACATTTCTAGAACTTGTACTATTTGCTCTTTTTGGATTCTAAGAGCAATCTATGGTCAGAAATGGTAGTCACAAGAGATATTTTAGTGTCAAATTTTTTACTCGTGTACGAGGATGATTCATGCATTACTTTTAAACCGAATTAAGTCCTATGGTTTGCTTTAGTAATTTGCAAAGATTTACAAGTGTATTGCCCTTCATTTTTGACAATAACTCTGTAATTGGCGCTCTACTGTGTACACAGAAGAGGATGAATAAAATCCCGTTTTACCAACATTCATGATTAAAGTTTTCCATCCGATTTTCCCCGAAAATGATTTTGCGACAACTCCACATTTAGACTTTATATTGGTGCAACAAATGCACTCTTGATTCGATCGTTTAGTTTCTCTTCTTATGATCGTTAAATTTTTCGCAGAACTATTGCAATGACGACTTTCTGATCGTGGAAGCTCCATATGGAATGCTCTTTCAGGCATAGAACTATCGGTTGCGTGCACCTTGTTCCATTTCAGTGAAAAGTAGAATTCAAATAGGCCTTGTGGATTTATTAAATATCCACTTTTACGGTGATACTCAAGCTTGGCCAAACGTTTCTACTGATTTGGCTTAGTAGACGGTGATTCATTGACGTGCCTTTACAATTCATACATTCGTCGAAAGTTAAACTGTAGCACTAAGCATCATTTCGACTAAATAAGGTAGCAAATCAGAACTAACACTACAGAAGAGTGTGTTTTAACATACTCAATAAGTTTATGCGATTAAAGTTACACAAGGTTTGTTTAGTTCCCGTGAACCAAATAGTCGCGAATTCATGTCGCCTTAGGCTTTTACTCTCACTTTTTGAATTATCCTTAAAAACATTGAAAAAGGCGCTAATTTTGCAGGTAACATTAGTGAGTATAGGGCTTCTTGCTTAAATTCTAGAAACGATTAAGTGTCCCTTTTTTATTTCAGCTGTTTACACGGTTGTGGTTATAACTTAACCAATGCTCATTTCCAAAAGTACCTGAGTAGCACATGGTATTAATCTAAAAAAAATGAACTAAATCTTTCTGCAAATAATGCTGGAGCAGAGGCAAAGCCTAGTTACCTTTCGGCACAACGTCAACGTTTTGGGTGCTTTCACCAAAAATGTCAAAGTTTAGGTTCTACTCATGCCATTTACAAGCAAAGTTTTTCAACCTTGACTTGAAAATTCTACCATAACATAAATTCTGCTTTTATTAGTTCCTATTGTGCCATACAGCGGGGTCGAAACTATTCATTAGCAAGCAGAAAGTGGTGGCAGTCACATTGTAGTTAAAGGGATTATGCTATCAACCAGAGGTCTAATTTTAACCTCCAATGAAGGTGACGGAGATCGGGCGTACTACACGTTTCAACAATGGATAAAATTTTTCGGCTATCTGCTGCAATTGACGCAGTAACTCATACTTTTACTGTCACAACCACATAACTATAAAACGTTTCTATATCTTTTACTGTTTCGTCATTATTAATTGACGCTATTTTCTATATCAGTAGACTGCTTGATATCTCCCTTTGAAAATGTTACCGCGATATTTGTGGCCTTTTTCTTGTTCATGCAAATCTAATTACAAGCTACAGGGACCTCACCTCCAGTGCAGAGTGGTGTAGAATTAAGTTTATTTTTAATAATTAAACTATTTTTGCACACATATGGAATTTCGTTATTACAACAGCTTCACTTTGCCTCGAGTTATTGGGTCCCGACACCCTCTCAAGGCATATTTGCGCCTTTTAAAATTCGGCTAAAATGATATTTTGACATTTTTTGGCATTTTTGGGACGATTTTTGATCAGTATACTATAATATAATTAATCATTTGCATAATTAATTAAAAGTAGTCCATATTTTGCAAATTATGCTTTGTTTTACATGAGCACCCGAAACGGTTGAGCGGTGCCGACTTACAGACTTCTCTACCTGTGAGAACCGCAGCCTACTATTTCGCCTTAGTCGGTTAGTCTGAATGCTTAAGTCTTGCAAATTTTCGTATAATTTACTATAACTCTCCGAAGTCGCATGCATCGTACCTAATTTGATGGGTTAAAAAAATGTCTAATTTCATTAAGACCTTTTGTCTTAAGCCTTTTCCAAACAGTAATTTCCGATTCTAACTGAAGCCTGTAAGTAATAAAATTCTTGTAAAGTAGATTTATTTCTTAACAAACACCCACAGTGTGCTACTAATCAAACTTTACAGACACGCATATCTCGTTGTAGCTTTATACTATTTGTACTTTTGAAATAAATCTCAATTACTCGTAATTTTTCAGAACTTCGTCCTCTAAGACTAAGTCTCTTCCATTGCAGAAGTTTACGATTTTTGAATGTGTGCGAATCGAAAGCCATATAATTCCTGCTTCATGTAAAATAAAACCCCTTAATCTCTAAATTATCGTTTCAAAACAAAGGCGTTGACTTAAATCGAGTTGTATATTATAGAGCGCCAACTTTTTTCATAAGTGCTTTTTCCTTGGTGAGATTTTTGCACGTAATTCCGCGATGCACAATCAAAAATGAGCATAGAACTAGGGAGTAAATCAAATCAAGTGAGGGACCGAATTTGTTCGTTTAGACAAGTACCGTGCTCTACCATTGGAGTAACCACTATTGCAGGAAAGCAAAAGTAAAAACGTCGGCAAAGTAGTGTTTGGTCGGCTACTCGAGGTGGGCGAAACGGAATCAGTCAAATCAAACAATAGGCAGTTACTGGTAGAAGGAAGACCACACCGGAAAGGTGATAGTGAGGAGTGCAATAAAAATGCTAAACAGGGCTTTTGCATTAGTAAGGAAGTATAACTAGTTTATGCCTAACTTATGGCTTGATTTTGACATCCGTTTGTAAGTGAGTCAGCATTAGACAAAGATTAATTAGTTACTATTCCAATTATTCTTGGCCACATTTTGTTTAAGCCGACCATATTGACCCATTTGCAATAACAAATATAAATATTCGAACTGAGACTTACTGAACTGAACATACATCAATGGCTTATTTGGATGAATTTTAAAGGCTCATTACTGGGCGTTCATTCCCATTGCACTCTTCAACCGACTTTCAGGAATGGACAAGTCTACATGCAGAAAACGCTAAATTATTGGGGTAAAATTTATGGGCATTGGGTCGTGGATATTCGCCACGATGGTTATTTGCATGTCGCAGATATGTTAGGCGTGTACGTTGAATTCAACTCTGAGCAGATTTGCGCAAAGTCCATAGTTTGCATCCATAGAGGTGTAATGAGTTTTATTGTCGCTTGTCTTTATGCGCAAATTGAGTAAATTCAGGCGAAACGATGCAAAAGTGTCAATTTAGACTTTAATTTACTTAATACTTTAGGCTGTGTTCTGTGAAATGTCATTTGGTAAAATTCTGTCTGAGGTACAAAAATGTAATTGAATTTTTTGCCTTACCAACTTTAAGGCATTGAAGCTAAAGTTATTGTGACAAATGTTACCATCTTACGGAATTAAGCTACTTCTAAAGGGAAATCGCATTCTTTTTCATCAATTTTATGACTTGTTCAGTGCTTTCACTCAAAGGCAGTGGTAAGAATTTTCCCAAATATTTGTCATGGATAAGATAACTCTTTCTCAACCACTTAAACGGCGACATTCCTTCAAAGGCTTACAAATGCCTCATACTTAACCAGAGACACACCTTGAGTTGGATACACCCTCACGCTTTGCTCGGCTGAACAGACAGTACCGTTTTCCGGGGCGAGATTATTATCTATTAAAGAATACATTCTCAAACCATTTTCAAATTTACATTTGAATTTGGAGGCAATCGCGAAGTGCTGCATAAATGCGTATTGCAATTGACGTTGTTTGATTAAAAAATAATTTTATCAATTTAACTATGTCTTAATCGTCAATTAATTTAACATGGTACTCTCAAAAATCTGGGGACTTCACGCTCCTACTAAGAAGGTCAGGACCGAAAGAAAGACATGGAAAGAATATAAACAAATAAGAAATGTATTTAGTTTTTCCACCTAAAATCCAAGATAAAGAGGAATTAATAAAAAGCGTCTATATCGCAAATCATAGTGTGACATTAAACATTAACGTATACACATGCGATCGATTTGGATTCGCGGTTTTAATAATTCTTTAGTGAAGAAAGCAAAGATGCAAGTTAAAGCATAAATCAAAGTTTACTACTGCTCTGGTAAATCTCACAGGTTTTCAAGGGAACTTCATTAGTTTTCGATCTCGTAATCAGGAAAAAATAGGTGACACGTGGTCCGTGCCAAAGTGATTGTTGCAGACCATGCTGGTTGAATCGAGATGGCACTTTTACACTTTGTGGAATGAAAGTTTTATGCTTTTAAATGCTAGCGTGCAAACCCCTTTACGCTTCCATAATCTTTAAGGGCTAAATGTTGCCTGCACAGCTTATCTGTAGTCCAAATACTCATAGCCTACAATAAAGTTCCAAATTATTGCGTGAGTGGGAAACACCAGCTTCTATTTCAGCCCAATTTGTGGCAGTTTTTTCAGTAAGAGACCTGTCTAATAAAAGAATTTTCGGCTCCTTTAAAATTCTCCGAAAATGAGGCTTTCTGCAAATAACATCCTTTTAATTTTAGAAAAGACTGTTATACAGAATACTTCGACATTATTATTTATAAGGCACACAATTTCTTATAAAGTTTGTCGGACCTTATTCAAACGCGCAGTCATGAGGGTGCGCAAAATTTAATGGGCCTGAGAATTTGTAGTGATTATTAATGTGCAAAATTAGTACCTTGGATAGGTTAAGGGGTTGTTCGCAGGCTGCTTCTTGTGCTTTAGTAGTCTTTAAAATTGGCAATTACGTAAACCTGCTCATCTTGCTTCTTAATCAGCAAAGGCGTTTCACAAATTTTTTTAAGAATATAAAGTTAAATTATTAATGGGAGTAACTTACAAATACCCACTTTCAAAACAAAGTAAAAACAACCAATCAAATTGAAACTTGGCGAATTTTAGCATTGGACACGTGCGAACCAATCATCAATGAAGGATGTTCATTTAAAAGGCATCCGTATGTGTGGAAGGCTCCCATATTGATATAGTTGAGATGTGACATTATAAACAGAGGCAATGTCTCCAAGTGTGTCATATCGCGAAAGCCCAACATTATTTTTCCAACTGGCCTTACAGATCTACACTAGCCTTCTGCTTGTTATAGGCCTGCCGGGGAATGCAATTAGCGGATACATAATGGCTACAGATCGCACAAACCGTCTGACTACCCGGATACTAATGGTGATCATTGCCGCCTCTGATACGGCCGTCCTTCTCACTGCAGTGACTCGCTACTGGGCCTTGGAAGTCCTCAAATCAGACTTCCGGAACTACTCCGATCTGATTTGCAAATTACATGTCTTTGCTGTTGCATTTTTTACGGATTTTGCTGTCGGTTCTCTCTGCGCCGTAGCGGTTGAGAGGTTTTTAGTTGTGGCATTCCCTCAACGTGCGAATATTGTTACATCGACGAAGACGGTAATCACAGGAATGGTTGCATTTGCTGTGGCTTTATCCATTAAAAACGGCATCCACTTCCTCATTATGGGCCTTCGAGAAATCGTTACGGAAGGCAACGCTACAGTCTTTGTATGCGCACCTCATGAGGACTATACATGTTGGACTAGCGTCTTTAAAAAAGTAGATTTTTTTAGTTTTGCTGTTCTCCCCTACGTCATCCTGTTTTCTTGCAACTTGTATATATATTGCGTGCTGAAAAAGCAGCGCAAACTTTTGTCGACAAAAATTAATCAAAAAAGAGTACAGAATAGCATACCCAAGATGCAAGTTAATTCTGCTCCACCCAACTTTCCCGCTGCTGCCGATATGGTAGAGATTGACAATTGCACAGCAGATTTCCCAATGAAACGGCACGCAAACGACCAAAAGAAATCCTTGTCCGTTAGTGGTGGAGGCAGTGGACCAAAATCGGAGCGGAGAAAGCGAAAACCAGAAGATGTCATTAAGATTCTTACGGCCCTAACAGTAGTTCACGTGGTGTGTACCTTGCCTGGAACAATTTTTACCCTACTCGCGGAGTATACGGACCTGCGCAGACAAAAGCCTACCAAGTACGTGCTGGTGATGCTCATCTTCACTAACAACGCAATCAACCTTTTTGCCTATCTGGCCTCCAGTGAACGCTTTCGAATTCAATTTCTCAATCTACTCTCCTGCGGACGTGCGAACCGCCGTAGGCGGCGGTAAAGCAGATCGCCTTGGCATTTGCTACTCAGATATTCTGTCGAGATGAGATTTCGACAAGTCACCGTTGCCCTCTTAATTTTCTAATGACTTTTGAAAAATACTAATGAGAGTGCTTTCGAGAGTCCTTGAAAGAGTAATTACAGAGTGCTTTTTCATGTCTATTTGTGCTTGGTTGTGTGAGCGGATACTTAAAAGGCGGGTATTATCACCAGAGATCTCGACAATTTTAAAACTTATTCTAATTTTCCTTATTGCTCCGAATATACGTAAAGTGTATGTACGTTGCCAAACTCTTCAAAAGCTTTTTAATGGTCTAGCCAAAATAACACAGGCTTAGAGGTTCCAGTCTCGACGTTGCTCTTTACAATGTAAACACCGGCGCAGACAGCAGAATAGTGCATTAACATTTCAGATGTATGCCCTAAAATCGTTGGACTGTGTATTTCTTGCGTCGCTCCACCTTTTCGAAGCCTCTTTATGCCACATACTCAACCAAATGTGGAGTTCGCACGAACTCAAAATCATTCCAATCACGAACGAAATAGTTCCTGTCTCGCACCGTATTTTTGGACCAATGAGCTCAAATACCTTTTGAGTTAAGAATAGTCAAATCAGTATTTGAGCTTTTACTCTTGCACGGATGATTCCATCCTGCTCCCCTTGACCGAGGATTATTTTCATTGTGCTTGGCAGATATTCGCTTTCCCATAACGTTTACAAGGGGTGAGTAAGCAAAGCATTGTAAAACCAACTAACACAATTTAGCACCCATTTTCCGCCGTACTTTACTCTAAAATTTCCAAAACTTTGCTTAGTAACTGTGTTGATGCTCTTGAAATCCACCACATATCAAAGTGTTAACAGGACTATCAACGACTTAATAACCCAAAATATAGTCAAAAATAAGAATGTAATCGCCCACTAAACTAAGAAGAACCTTCTACATACCATCAATTGATTGCAAGTCAAACAGCTCGCTTGAGGCACGATTCGATGCAACAAATGAGTGCTCGACTGACTGAGGCAAAGCAGGGTTTCACGCACGTGTAAGCTGACAGTAATGATGTCGTTCGCAGGTAAGAGCATATGGTTGTAATTAAAAGCAATTTGCCTTTTCTAGTCTCTAGCGATGCACGCAGCTTGATAAACTTTGAAAATATTAATAGAAAATTTAGTAAAAATATGTAAGCAATGGAAAAAAATTAGGGTTCGTTTATATCCAGGTGAGTTTTACCATTGGAAGGCTAATAACGTTTGGAGAAATTTCGGTGTCGCCCCAGTCGGTGGTGCGGTTTAAACGCTTCGTGCATAATCTACCTAAGCTAACAAAATAGAGCGTTCAGTCACCCATCTACATCTTTTTACTATCAATTATGGTTTTAAAAAGGAAGTGTGCGGCTCTTTAAAACGACTACTTTGCTGTAAGTTGCTTCTTACCGCATGGGAACTCATCAATTCTCTTCAATGCTACCATAACTCTAATCAGTAAGAGCTCTCATTAAGATTTTTAAAAAGAATCAACTTCACTTGTCACTTTTGATAAAATTTTTAATATATATTTATGCTTAAATTCTTACTTCTGGGAAATTCCAAGAGGCACAATCCGATAGCAACACTTGAGGGACCGACTATGCAAATGCACAAAAGTCTGGTTGATTTATAGGCATCTTTTTTAAGAGAATTAGGTAGTGTTACTTTAATTCTTTTTTGTCCTCTGTTGCTGATAATAAAAAGAACGCATGTTTAATATGTGCAACGCCCATGACATTAAGAGCTCAAAATAAGCAGAGAATATAGGCTATTGATAATTCAAAGATGGTCTCATTTGAAGGAATCTACTGAACCCTTTCGCCATACCTATCAAAACAAATTGCCTATAGGGATCGAACTTATCAACAAACTTTCATTTATACTTTTTTACACACTGTAATAGGATATTTAATAATGGAAAGATTTCACAGGGGTATTAAAGACGTAAACATTAAATAATTTCATAGCGTTTGTGTTTAATAGCATTAAACCCTCATGCTATTCTCAGGGAATCCTGAAGAAGTTCGTTCTTATGTCAACAGGTAAGCCAAATGACGTCAATACATAATTGGTGGATGTTGGCAGTACTTTTTCTCTTCTTCTCCAAAGCATCCCTACTGCATTCCGGCTCAATACAAGCTATGACCGAGTTCTTTAGTGGTATCAATGAAGAATATTGCGTGAGCAGTCATGATAGGCCATCTTTTGCCTCGCAACTCAGTGGCTGGGGCAGTCTCAATAATCCATTCGAGGCAATTAGTCGTTCCAACTCCCGCCATTCAACGCTTTGCTTTCATTGCATTGAACACGGCACCTTTAGGTGCTTCACATCAAATGGATTTAAATGAGACTTGGAGTTTATCGAAATTCCAAATTATGTTAAGAAGCGTATTTTGCTTATGGATTTGTCGGCTCTTTCATCTTCCTAAGCATAAATAATGTGAATATCTTCTTGCGGTCGCGAGTCCCAAACACAATTCTTTTTGATCCAGTTAAGGTATTTTGTACACCCAAAGTTTTATGGTCTGAGCACCATAAACTACGGCTTTGTACTGTGAGTTCCACCGCTCTTCAGTGCCACTATGATAATCTTTAAAGATTTTGCATTTGATGCACGAAGAGATTTTTAATACAAATAAGAATCAAACATAAATATCAATGAAAGATGTCCAGTGGCACCAATTGTAAGTTCGTGGCAAATAGTTGTGCATTTTGACATGTATCTTGCAAGGTTTCAACATTATTAGATTGTCCTGTTTACATTCTAAATATTTTTCATTTTTCTATTTAGCATTACTACACATTACTACACAGAAAACTGCGTATTCGTGAGGACAAGTTAAAAATCACCAATGAAGTACGCCGATATATTTGGGAGAATAAAAATGGAGTGAATAACTAGCTTTTACTGACCTCATCATTGAGGGTTCAGAATGCAAAATAAATTAGGGACAGCATTTAAGGTCGCAGAAATCTTGAAATCAAATCCTCTTCCCAGGGCCACTCATGCATGCGAAGCAGTCGCTTTACATGACTAAATTTATGATCAACCAGACCAATTTACTGCATTAAGCCCTTCTGGTTGGAGCCAAATGGGTATTCCCAAAAATCCCGCTAATTTCTAACTACCACAACCAGGGGTAAAAATAAAATCTGTGCCATGTAGCGTGGTTTTGATGAGGTTATTGAATCCAAGGCACAATGGGATGAGTTAATCCACCGATAGCTATACGAGGATTAAGGATAGTTTGGTTTCCGAGTTTCCGGCTGAAATTTTGATACAATTACAATCATTCAAATTTTCCCAAATGATTGCACTCAAAAACCTACTTACATCAGTTTATTAAATCAAACAATAATGATTTGCAAAAAACTTCAGTTATATGAGGCGTATTTGTGAGGATGTCTTATAATTTTATGACCACTGGAATAAACAACACCTTATGCAGCGCATCAACACATCATTTATCAGTCGACTTGACAACTTTTAATGTGTGAGATCACTACGAAAAGTAGCAGTAATGTGTGGACGCTGTGATTTATGGTGAAACGTCTGCGACTTCGGAAAAGTTGACAAACGTGATTCCTCATCTACCTTGTTGTTTCTACTTTACTAAGGACTGCGTAAACTACCGACATCGTCTAAATAAATGCCTCACGGTTTTCCTCATATCAGCGAAGAAAATATAGGCCGTAAGCTGTCTCAGACGATTTACGGTTGCTGCGACAAATTGTACATTAGTGACCGAACGAAATTCTCACAACAAAGTCTTATTGAAGCATTGTATTTGTAAGGTACTACGGTCATCACTGTTAGTAGGGGAAGTTTAAAGGCTAGATGCTCCCGTTCAAAGGCATTGCAGAAGAAAAAAATGGAAGACTAGCAGCAGCCGAAGTAGTAATGGCAGAAGTAGAGAAACATGCAAAGGCTTCGTCATCTCCAGCTTACTAGCAGGCCAAGTAAGCCTGTCAAGCCCGATGTGCGATAAGCAGACGGGGACATTAGTTCAACCTCGGCACTGCGTGACCCCGAAACGGACGCTACTTTTGACCCTCTTGCCAACAGCTACAAGTTTATTATCTGATTTCTTCCTTGATTTGATTCCAACCTCGTTCTGCTCCACTTAACTAACTAATCCTGCATTTGGCTTGCTGAGAGAAAATGGCACCCCCTAGTCATTAATCAGAGGCAGGACGTTTGGAAGCGATGTGTGCCTTCTTTGAACTCTCTTCTTGGTAATATTCGTATTCCGTCAGATGAGTGTGCAGCTTTATTTTCTTAAGTGTTGAGACGTAAGGATTTTCAAATGGATGTTTGTTTTTGACCTCATAATCGACATTTTGCTAATCTTTAATATCGTCTCACTTATCTTGAATCCATAGCATGATACAAAACGCCTTAATTTGATGGGTTCATGCTTAGGCAGGTGCGGAAGTTTCGATATTTTTGGGAAGCGATTTCATGCTTTTCCCTTCAAAGATCTAAGGACTCATGAAGAAGAATTTAGAAGTTTCGTATGATTACTGTTTTCTTTGAAATTGATAAAAATTCGTTGCTTTTTACCAACTTTGTGTCAGGATCTGGCGAGACCATGTAGTGTTCTCATTAGCAGGGATGATGACCATTAAAATCGGTAGCTAAAGTAAAGAGTACCCAGGAACAAATTTTAAGGCTTTTTAGAGCTCAGAATACGTTTATACTGAAAAAATGTAAAGTCTACTTGAGTCATCGCGCATAAATATTCCTGGTAAATCTGTGCTTCTGATCTTTACAAGTTATCTGCAGCCTCGTTTTAAATAATGAATGGAATGCTTGCGTATATGGTGAGTATAATCGCTAGCATTGTAAGACAAAACCCGCATGAAGGAATTTAAACCCACACACTTTGTCGAAAGTTCTTTAAATGAAGAACAAACACCTTATCTTTGAAGTTTTGCTAAGGTTTTACACAACTCCCATGCTCAATGGA